TAACGAAGAATTTTCTTCGACAGCTGCCCTGTTCATGCTTTCTTCGGCGACTTCCTTCATAACAAGTGAAAGTTTATTATTAATAACATCATATGATTTTTGTTCAACAGGATTAGGAAGACTCATTACAGAACAAAAGGTTTTTAATGACTCTAAACCTTGACCTATGCATCTCATTGCTAAAATAGATCTTCTGTTAATTTCTGGAGCATTATTTTTTTATTCCCAATGTTTTCGCAGCTTGAAAAAGTACAAATACTCCCACAGTTTTTACAATGTATTTCAAAATTCTAACATAAACCACAAGTGGATATTTCATTAATTGTTAATGGTTTATGACATTTTAAACAGCATGATACTGACAAAATAGAGCTAAAGGTTGAAATAAAATCAAAAAGGCGATATTCTTTGAAGTTTTCACTTACCTTAACAAGATTTGACTTTAATGAAGTCTGAATTCCTGAAAGTTTTTTACTAGAAGCATTTTTCATTTCGGCACACTTACTTGTACTTTTCAATTCTGCACACTTCCTCGTATCTTTCATATCTGTAACATGTGAGTCACTTACCTTTAAATATTTATTTCCTCTAAATCTTTTGTTGGGGCGATTGCCCAACGATTTTTTCAGAATAAAACAACACATATCTTCGATTTAGATAAGCGTTTTAAAAAAACGTGTACTAAAGTAAACACAACAGAATCAAAACACGGCAGAATGAATGTGTTGAGTTGCAGGCTTCCTTCTGATCAACTCAAGCGCTTAAAATATTTCATGAGGCTTATTAAAAACAGAAAAATGAAATTTATGCATAAATTTAAAAATAGATGGGCGTGGCATGTGTCCATTTAAAAGTTGTTATGACTAAATTGCTGTTTGCAATTTTTTGAATAACTTTCGAAGTTTTTAGAGTATTGTCACGTGGTTAGTATCAAAATGTTCAGAAAAAAATGAAGAACAAGATATATTTTTTTCGAAAATTCGAAAAAAAATTGTTAACACCCCTCAGACCCCTTAAACGAAAAAGAAAAAAAAAACTTATTATCTACAATTATCAAACACCTGAGTTCATAACTTTCTCCACATCATTAGTTACCGTAACCGCACATTCCACACAATTTCATTCTCATTTTTTTCAATAACCGATGCATGTTAAATCTGTCGAGATTTTAATCGTCATCCCGTTGGTGTGGTATGGTAGTTAGGAGAAAGGGGTTGCCAACTCAGGTATCGTCTTCGTCACATGACCATGGTTTAAAAATACGAGGTAAGCTGCCAAAATCCTTCATGTTGCTGAACAGTGCCACGTTAATATTCACTCACTCACCCTAAATTCTTTATTAGATCTAGCCTTCAAGTAGAAATATCTTATCTGCAGAAAGAAAATTCTTTTAAATTGTGATCAAAGTTTCGAAAACGACTTTACCATTTCCTTGGGGATTCTTCTGAGGGAAAATATTTATTTCAACCAACTTTCCCTGACAAAGGAAGCGTGATTATGCAAATGAAGTATATTATATAAATTCTGTATTCGCGAGTTGGCAAGAAGTTGGCAAGTGATTTGGCGAGTTAGTTAGTTAGTTGAAGAGTGATGGATCTTGGAATTATTAAGAGAATTTGGAGTTTATCCATGAAAAGGATTACTGAGAGTGGATACAACGACAGTGATTAACTCAAGATGAGGATCTCCTGCAAAGATTCGAGTGAAGTATCAAATTTTTAAAAGTGAACCTTGTTTAATTAGAAGTTAGATTATCAGTGTGCGTCGTAGTTTATATTGAGCGTGTTTAAGCTATCGTGGAATTAGTTGAGGGTTCGTATTATTATCCCCGGGCTATTGAATCTCACCTCCGTGCTCTACTATCTTATTAGTTATCTTAATTAGATTGTTCATGTGTTTGATTGATATTTTGGTGTCAATAAATTAATGAGAGTGAAATATGTCTAGTGCTTATTCAGTTTCTCCCACACACATAGCTGGGTCTGCGGATAGACAAGAGGTTTCAGATGGAAGCAGGAACCGTCCGTAATTACACAGTGAAGCTTAATTTCTATTTTAATATGGTTTCCCTTTAAGTTATAAGCATCGGTGTTACTAAACAGTTGGTTTATGAACATTTGCATTTTTCTAGAGACAAACAATAGACAAGAGATTTACATTATCATTGTAAAAGGTTATAAAAACAGATTATAGTTGTTTCGAAAGGGATATTAATTACAGGTACAAAGGCCGAGTTAATTTAAAATCACCTATTTAATTGCATTTTCAAAAAGAAGAAGAAAGAAATCTATTTAAATACTTTACAAGAAGTAAGCATTTGGAACAAAAGTTATTTGTACTGCATTTACAATTCTTCATTTATAAAATAATTTTTTTAACAGTGGAAATCTAACTTTCCTATCTTTTTTTAATAAAATATATATGTACGGAAAAAATTTTAATGTCAAAAAGACAAACATATTAAGAACATTTGAATAATTCGGATGATTAACACGGTTTATTTTATTAAAAGTATATCTGTAAAATGAAACGTTTGCATGCGGTTTTATTTTTTTTTGAAAATCCAAGTTTTTTTTATATTAAAAATTTTTAAAAAAGTAGTAAGTTTTTTTGTAATAATTTGTAAAAAAAAACCCCAAAAACTTATTTCCAAAACTCTTCTTAAAATGTCAGTATATCTCAGTAAAGAGAAGGATGAATATTATACTCAAGCAGAATGTATGAAAAAAAGTATACAATTTCCTATGATTTTAATTCGAAAAACGAAATAATTTAAAACGAGACCAAATGCTTCACTTACTTTTTAAGTTATACAATATTCATTTTTTTCCTCATTTTCATTTGAAAATGTCACTTCCTACTTTTGGATCTCAATTTCCTTCAATTAATTTGATATTTCGATTACTATAAGAGGGAAAAAAACTCATCACAGAACGTTGCGTTTAATTTTTAAGAAATTTTTGGAATTTTCTATGCAATTGAAAGTGTAATTAACGAATTACAATTTCTTAATTATTCAACTGCATTCGTCTTTTCTTAGCATTTTATTCACTGGGTACTTTTTTTTGAGAAAAGTAAGTGTCTTCAGAGAAATGTTCTTTTTCCATAGTTTCTAAATGACAGTATCAACAAGGAATAAAAAAACATTTTTGGAAGAAGAGGGGGGAGAGAATGTAAAAAATTTGTTGGCAGATATTTTTTAAAGTTAATAAAAGAACATTGGAATAAGGTAGATGGACAATTTGAAAAAAACATTAAGGGGGAAACACTAGCTGAATTTGATTTAATTTTTCGTTATTTGATATGTAAAAACCACTGGCAATTCCTTTATAAGATCAAATGTAAAATATTGTATTCATTAATCATTTACTAATAAAGCGTTAGATTTCTGAATTAGAATAAGAAATTTAACTTACCTTGATGAATATAAGTATTTCACCACATAACTGGATGCCAGATACAAATAGGAAGACAACATTTTAAATAAAAACCTTTTTCTCATATCAGGTATTTGAAGAATTTTAGGAAATATTTTTATAATATTTTATTAATGCCCTAAATTGTATTTATATAAAATGGTTCCTATTTTTTGTATATATCCTTACTATAGAACATTTATTTTTTTAAATCTCCCACTCCAGCATTAATTTGGCTGAAGCTACTTATTAATTTAAGATATTGATTTCTGGTTTCGATGAAAATTACGGTTTTTGACCTAATAGGAACGCTTCCGATATTGAAGTAAAATACTTTTTGGTATAGTTTAACCAAATTATTATTTAAATTTACTCGTTATTTCAGTCGTTACTTTTCTTATAAAGAGCTGGATTGTACCTTGATTATTCAAAGAATTCTCATGCAAGCAATTGTAAAGAATTTCAGAAATAATTTTGCCTTCTCCTATCCACTCGTCAGTGTTCAATGTTTTTTTAGAGTTGCTCGGCATATTTCAAAGAGAAATGAACCATTGTTAAAGAATGACTTTAAAGCATTTCAACCTGCATAGCTTTATCTCAGTCTATATTCATCAATATAGAGTAGCACAAACAATTGAGAATACACCTTACTTTTGCTTTAAAAATTCAACGGTCAGCAAAAGTAATGCATTATCTAGAAAACAATTAGTTTAATTTATAAACAAAAAATAGAGAGGTAAACTAAAGAAAAATTTCTGAATTTAAAAGTTTCAGAAGCATTTTAAATAAATATATGCAGATTTTTTGCCTAAAAAAAAAGAGAATACATTTACGAAAAATATGATTAACAACTAATAAATATTTTCTACTTGACAGTTATTTTATATAATTTTTCTTAATCTTATCGTAAACCTTTTCAACGACCAGTTTTGTGTTATTAAGTTAGTTGGATGAAATCAAAGTAAAACTTTTATTTAATTGCAAAATGGTTCCTCACACAGAAACCTGCAATTGTAAATAAATTCGTATTACTTAAAAAATATCTGATATTTGAAAACACACTGAAATTGTTGGTAAGAGACACAATTGGTCCTAAAAATTATAATAAAATTTAAAAATGATGAAGTCATTGAAAATAAATGTGGAAGAAGATATAGAAGGACATTATGAGTAATGTCAAGATTGATCCCAAAGTAAGCGGTGCCAAACTTTCTGCAAAAGTTCTCAAATCATAGGCAGAAACAAAAGTGCTGAAGTTGGATATAAAAGTGTGAGCTGTTAGAAAGAAACAATTCATCAACCTGAGGCAGAAAAACCGCTTAAAGTTTGTAAAAAAATCATGAATTGAAGATCAATAATTTATGGAAGAATAATGAAAGTATGTTCAACATTTGTACCAGTGACGGCCGTTGTACTATATGAAGAAAGCCCATTGCATAATATATTTCTTCAATACTGGAGAAAAAAAATTGCATTCCTTCTAAATAATTTCGTGTTCGAAATTCATAAATATAACTTGAAAATTGTTTGAAAGAATCTCCAAACATAAAACTATAATTCAAAGAGTAAGGGAAGAATATCGCGTTCAGAATGGCCGAGTGGTTATGGCATCGGATTCTGCATCGTTTGCAGAATGTGGCAGCTCTTTGCTATTGCAATATCGGGGCTTTGCTATGTGATATCTAATGTATCAAACCAATATATTGAAGAACGAAAGATAGAAACAAAAAATGTCATTAGAATGTGACGACTTTCAGAAGAGATTAATTAGACCGTATTACTTCGGCAACTGCAGAAGCCATCTAACTTTGAAAGCTTTGGGTCCTCCATTATTGTAACACTGTGTGAATGAGCCTCATCACACATCCAATGAGTGGCCGCATTTGCAAAGGTGGTGGTTTTCCGATTGTCTGTAGGTTCGATTCCTACTCCTTTTCCACGTGAATTAAAATTTGAAGCACAAAATTTCGATCTTATCAAATATGACAATTTATCTACTTTTTTTTAAAAAATTGGAAGACCGTAAAATAAATGTATATTATTCAATTATATAGCTTACATGAGCATAACTTTAATCTATATATATAAAGGAGAAAAGCGACTCACACTGACTGACTGACTGACTGACTGACTAATCACGATATCTCTGGAAATATTCAACCTACATACTTGAAATTTGGTAGACATGTTCCTTTGATAGAGTAGACATCAGCTAAGAAAGGATTTTCCGAAATTCGAAAAGCAAGGGGCGTTACGGTGGGGGTTAAGGCTTTAATAATAATTGTTTCCATGTTTAAACTATTTGATGTACAATCTTGAAATTGGGTAAGCGGATTCCTTTCAGAGAGTAGAGATCCGCTACAAAATGAGTTTGCTGAAAATCGACCCCCAAGTGGCGTTGCAGGGGCTTAGGGGGCGTTATAGATAATTATTTCCATTTTTAAACTATTTGACGCACTGTCTTTTAATTTGATATATAGATTCCTTTCGTAGAATTATGATCAGTTACAAAACGGGTTTTGTGAAAACAGACTCCTAAGTGGCGTTGCGGGGGATTAAGGGGCATAATAGATAAATATATCCGTTTTTAAACTACTTCACCTACCTGCTTGAAAATTGGTAGTTAAGTTTCTTTTCGGGAGTAAATATCCGCTACGAAATGGGTTTTGGGGAAATTGCCCCCAAGGGGTTGTTGCGGGGGGTTTAAGGGGCGTTATAAATTCCTAATTTAAGTTATTAGACGTACAGTCTTGAAACTTAGTAAGCAGATTCCTCTCATAGGGTAGAGATACACTAAAAATGGGTTTCGTGAAAATTGCCCCCAAGTGGCGTTGAGGGGACTTAAGGGGCGTTATAGATAATTATTTCCATTTTTAAACTATTAGACGCACAGTCTTTATATTTGATAAAGAGATTTCTTTCTTAGAGTAGAGATCAGCTATAAGAAGGATTTGTGAAAACAGACTTCTAAGTGGCGTTGCAGGGGTATAAGTGGCGTAAGAGATAAATATTTTCGTTTTTAAACTATTTGACCTACCTGCTTGAAAATTGGTAGGAATGTTTCTTTCATGGAGTAAATATCCGCTACAAAACGGGTTTGGAGAAAATTGACCCCCAAGGGGTGTTAAGGGCAGATATAAATAATTATTTCTTTTTTTAAACTATTAGACTCACAGTCTTGAAGTTTGGTTAGCAGATTCCTCTCATAGGATAGAAATACACAGCAAAATGTGTTTTGTGAAAATCGACCCCTAGGTAGTGTTGCGGGGGTTCAAGGGGCGTTATTGATAATTTTTTTGCATTTTTAATTAATTGGACGCACAGTCTTCAAATTTTGCTAAGCAGATTCCTTTCAAAGAGTGCAATTCCCTACAAAATGGGTTTTGTGAAAACAGACCCAGAAGTGGCGTTGCGGGGGCTCAAGTGGCGTTATAGACAATTATCCCCAATTTTAAACTGTTAGACGTACAGTCTTGAAATTTGATAAGCAGATTCCTTTCGTAAAGTAGAGAACCGCTACAAAATGTGTTTCGCGAATATCAACTACCAAGTTTAATTTCGGGAGATTAAGAGGCGTAATCGATAAATATTTCCATTTTTAAACTACTTGATCATCCTGCTTGAAAATTGGTAGGCATGTTCCTTTCATGAAATAGAGTTCCTCTAACAAAGAGTAAAATGAAAATTGACCTCTAAAGATTTTTGCGAGGGGTCAAGAGGAGTTACAGAAAAAAATTCCTGTTTTTAATTGTTAGACCCGTATACTTGAAATTTGTTAAGCATGTTTCTTTTGTTGAATAGGGATCCACTAAGAATAAATTTTAAGCAAATCAAGTTCTGGGGGGTTGCAGGGGGTTACTGGGACGTATTGACAAAAAAAAATGCTTTTTTCGAGCTACAAGGACTATAATAATGAAATTTGGTTTGCATTTTTCTTTTGTTGAATTGAAATCCGCTAAGAGCGGTAATTTTGGAAAACAGCTCTCAACGGGATTACGGGGATACTTATAGTAAAACTTTTGCTTTTTTCTGTTAGATTTAGAGTTGAAATTTTGCTTGCATGTTCAATTTACGGAGTAGAGATCCACCGAAAATTGGTTTTGCGGGAATCCACTTGGTTTTTGAGTTACGAAAGAGCAAACATCATTCTATGCTTCAATTTTAGAGATTTTTAGAAAATACAAATTAGATGAGTTCTGCCCTTTTTTTTATCAACCGGTGACAGTTACAGGTATAAGTATATTTTTCAATTCAATCGAATTCTTAATGCTAGGACTTAGATATCAATAATTTATACATATATATAAGCAGTAAAAATTTATAAAACATCTTGAAATACCCAGTGAAGCGGGCGGGTAACAGCTAGTATTATATATATGTGTTAACAAATCGATTAAAAATAATTATAATGCTAAAATAAAATTAGCTAAAAAATTTTTGTCTTGCTTATTTGTTATATTCGGTATCAGGTTTATTGAATGGTATTTAAAGCTGGAAATATTAAAGAAAATGGCTGTTAATATTCATTTTGTATGGAATTCTACATTGTAAAATAGCTGAGAAAGATATTGGTGTAAGTATTCTTGTACGAGGAGGGTATCAGTAGAATATAATAACCTGTTTCGAAAAATTTCTGGTTTTTAATTCTTAGTCTGTCATCTTTATACTCCTGTTTTTATGTTTACAATTTCATGAAGAAAAAAATTGTTCTTTTTTTTTGTCTATATGATTAATGTAGATACATCAGAGTACACGACAGAGAAAAAGAATATTTATGTGTTATTTAATTGAAATACTTGGAAATGTTTCGGCAGTTATTTAATTAAAAGCCTCAGCTTTATGAATTGATTTTAAGTGACTTATCCAGGATCTGATTTCTTCTATTGGGGTTTTGTGAAATTTTCTCAAGGTGGGTGCTACTTTCAGATGCTATCCTCGTCAATGATTCACAGGCTACTGGGCAGGAATCACATCAATAAACAGACCAATATGTTGGCCAATGGAACCTGTTTGGTACATGCTAAGCATTAGTTTTGGTACCCCTAAGATTATACACTAACGGTTCTACTGCAGGAAATATATATCTCTAGACGTATGGAATCCAATACCTTAGATTCTTTCATTAGGAACCTAATTAACTTTAGGTCTAACAAGTCTATTATTATGTTGATTTACTACGAGTGAAAACCAACCATGAAAGCAGATTTTCGAGCCATACCAACTATGAAAGCAGATTTTCTGTTTTAGAAACTATAAATCTTTTTTATATATTGTTTTCTTGATCAAATAAGTACTTGTATGTCGCTGTTTTTCTCATAACTATGAATAAAGTATATTTATATTCATTTGTGAATAACTTCATTTCACCTAGTATAGTATTAAGGTCTTATGAATAATATTTCAGTCCCCGGAACACATCTATTTTTTTTTCAAATGCATAAAATTCTAATATATTTCTTCGTTTTCTAATCAATGTATTATTCGCGAAGAAATATCTTTCAACAACAATGAAGAACCGTTAATCATGACATATCTTTTTCTTTATGAATACAAAAATTCAAAATTTTCACATTACATTTTAAGAGAAAATATGGATAAAATTTATGTATGAAATTCGACACCGTGTTTTTTTTTAAATTAAGCTTTAAAGAGCAAGTATATGAAGAACTTTAAGTATATTGCCATATTTCTTTCTGATTTTCTGAGCTGAAAATGAATTGGTGCTTAGTTAAAATGTTTCAATGTATTCAGAATGTATATATCGAATGGTTTTTTGGCCTGTTTATTTTCCATACATTTTTTATACAAATCAAAATAATGTAATAAGCGCATGAACAATCTCTTTAGATAATGGAAAGTGTAAAATATATATAATTTAAACAGGTTATTAAATACATGTGGTAAAACAATGAGAATTTGAAAACAGCTCGATTCTATAAAACTAAAGAAATAAACTTATCCTTGACGATATAATTTTACATTTTCATTTTCACATGTGTCAATAGAATTATGAATGAAATTTTTTCCAAAATATATTGTTAAGTAATGCAAAAAAGTTCAAAACATAAGCAAATAAAGCGGCGTTCAGGAGGGCCGAATGGTTATGGCATCGGACAACTGCACTCTTTGCAAAATGCGACCACCCCTTGGTTTCGGTTAACTCGGTGAGTTACGACTTTGTTACTGGAATACAAGGTATCGAATCAAGTTTTGTATGAAAAGAAGAGAGGACCTTAAAGCTCTGGCATTTGCAGATGCCATGAAACGATGTCAAGCTGAGGTTTCTTCAACATCGCAATACGATCTGAATAAGAATCATCATCCAATGAGCTACTGCATTTCTCTTTCTCCAGATGTGGTAGTTAGCCGATTGACTGTTGTGGCTGTAGGTTTGGCTCCTGAACCGCGCTATTTTTACCGGATGCTATAAACTTTTCAATTGTGTGTTTTTATTTTTAGATATTAAGGAATGCTTGTTATTTATAATTTATTTATCGATTTGCTTAAAAATTTTCACATACTGATGAAACTTACATTACTTTAAAACATAAATGTTATTTAATCATAAATTATAAATGCTATATAATCATTTTTATGTGTGTGTTAAGCGTAAATTTGCAGGGTAGTACTACACAAATAAAATGAACATTAAAAGTTTTTTTTTTAATATTTTTCATAAGTATTTTATTTTCTGTATGTAATTTATTAAATGGCATATTAATATTTCAAAAACTCGCACTGGAATGTGAAGCGTAAAATGTGTTTCTATACAAGTACATACATTGATTAGAAGGGCAGAATTTATATGACTACTCTTTCAAAACAATATTGCACCATCTTTTGGCCTTAATACTGCATAGAATTTTCTTGTTATGTACTATATGGATCTTTTATAATTTGTACGTGGATTGTGAGGCCATATCCCATGAACTGCATTTTTCAATCC